AATACCAATGCTTCCACTAAGAAAATTAGAAAGATGTGGCGATGAGGCAAGATCAGAAGGAAGACCACCGCTTGATTGAATGGCATCACCAGCGCAGTAATCACAGATCCTGGAAGTATCATTACACTTGTGCACGAGTCAACCAAAGACCATTTATTGTATCCAATCCCATTCTGGAATGTCTGAGGGAGAGTTACTGGTACAGAGTCGATCGATATTGCACGAACATCGATTGTGAAATAAGTACGTGCTGGTGAGTATGCCCATACGACTGGCACTCCGTTCGAACTACACTTGTATGACGGATCGTCGTTTCCAAAGTCAACGTAACTTTGGTTGGTCATACTGTATGGACATGCGTGAAACGCAATCTCATTTTTTGGCATAGTTCCTGAAGCAACCCATGCATCTACGACTGTAGATGGAGTTACACGATAGCTAGCCAATGATGGATATGCGATTCCGAGTAGTCCCTGTGTCACATCGCCAGTAGTGTAGATTGGGTTCGTCGTTTGTTGAAACATGCCAATGACTGGAGCATTGGAAGCCGTAATATTAGTTCCAGTGACACGCGCAGTTCCTTGAAATCCGTATCCAATCCATCCAGATCTATCACCATAGGCACCAGTCAAATCACCACTACCAGGTGGACGTGGCGTATTGATTGTTGGGCCAACATAGTTGTTCAGACCGGTAAGTGGTATAGTAAGATCAGTAGAACCCGAATCAATCATGACACTAAACTATAACAATATATTTAAAGTCAGTATCTCGATTATAATCCTCGTCACCATCATTCATCCAATAGCCATTGGTGTAGTCATGTTTACTATATATAGTAAACACAAATAAATCAATATTGGGTAATATTGGACAGTATGTTACTTACAGTGGTGCCTTGAACGTCCATGTTTATCAAAAAGCATGTTGAATATCCGCCTGGAAGTTTGACGCTAGTGCGCTGATTTAATACGCTACTGGTAGATCCAGTATCTTGGGTGAGCAATGGGACTCGATGAGCCACGACTAAAGTACACAAGAATGCCAATATAAGCCAAGCCATTTTGTTTATCTTGTAGTGTGTTGATTATTCCACTCCTTGACCCTTTCATACTCATAGACTTCAACTTTATATGTACCATCTAATCCCATCAAGTGACATTGGGTATGGAATGTTAATTATTGGTGATAATTTGCTGGATAATGGATGAATTTATCGGGGAGTGTTCGATAAAATTGCATGCTAATGTATACGCCATGGCTGGCGGAGCGATCGAAGCATAAAGTAAAAATTGAAGTGCAAATGTTGCAGTCTTTTTGCGGAGTTGGCAATAGACTTTTGCTGCTTTTATCATTTTGGCTTGTCAGAGGTTAGTGAAATATTTTGATGGGCATGAATGGCTGAATGATATTTTAAAAGTATATCACACTGAGCTGATGAATTGATTACTAGATGCAAAACAGTTTGATACAGCTTGGATGATAAAAGTTTACAAATTGTACAACTATATTTGCTAAATCTATGAAAGTCAGATTCAAGAACAGGTTTCGAGTTTATTATAAAAAAATCCAGTAAATATAAAAATTGAAACGACAGATCTGCAATAGAAAGTTCATATTACGATTGTAAAGATCTAAAGAATATATGCACCAACAAGAGCAGCTAGACAAACTGACATGATGATTGCATTTGGAGCTAGGAACACATGGGATGCTCCGCTGGTCACCCCACGTTGAATAGTTTCATTTCCAGATGAGGTGGAGTGAAGCAAAGTAAGCAGTTTGGGTTGAGCTGAAGATGAACCAAATGTATCGAGGCATGAGTTGGGAATAAGGATAGCATCCGTTCCAACTCCAATCGTACACTGAGCACCTGGAATATAGAGGGGAGAGTAGACAGGAGTTGGTGGCGACGATGGATTTGGGGGACACGCCGAGACTATACTGGATGGAGTGGGAGTGATAAAAATAGTTGTCACAGGTGTAACAGTCCGAGATGGGGTAGGTGTCACGGACGTTCTAATGATACGTGTAGTTGAAGTAGTTGTACTTGTTTGCGAAACACGCCGAGATGTGGTTTGTGTAGCAGCTGCTGGTGTAGATGATGCAGACGAAGTAGATGAAGTAGAGCTACAAAAAATAAACTAATGAGCATCTGATGAGTCGGTTGTAAACTTTAAATTATTAAAACCACTTACACTCCGGCTTTCCACACTCTCCCGTTTGCATCTTGGATTATTGGGTATCCATCAGTGGCAGTATCACATCCACATCCTTGAGAAAATCCAACACGAGCATTTGCTCGATCAAGCACAACATTCAGGTTGGAAAAAAGGGGAATACCAAGGTTGGCATATCTTTCACCACCAGATCGGGCAATCATTGCGACTATCAATCGCAACATATTAGTAAATGGCTGTAATACATGTGTGTAACGGGTTTTAATCACTTACAGTATCCGTTGGCATTTGGTTGGATATACTGTCGAGCTCCAAGAGTAATTTTAAATGTGGCATTTTGACCACCTGGTCGGATTTGATCAGATGTGATGTCAAACGAAATGCTGGGAAGTTTGCTCCATTGGAAAGGCTGGACCGGTCTAATACCAATGCTTCCACTAAGAAAATTAGAAAGATGTGGCGATGAGGCAAGATCAGAAGGAAGACCACCGCTTGATTGAATGGCATTCACCAGCGTAGTAATCACAGATCCTGGAAGTATCATTACACTTGTACACGAGTCAACCAAAGACCATTTATTGTATCCAATCCCATTCTGGAATGTCTGAGGGAGAGTTACTGGTACAGAGTCGATCGATATTGCACGAACATCGATTGTGAAATAAGTACGTGCTGGTGAGTATGCCCATACGACTGGCACTCCGTTCGAACTACACTTGTATGACGGATCGTCGTTTCCAAAGTCAACGTAACTTTGGTTGGTCATACTGTATGGACATGCGTGAAACGCAATCTCATTTTTTGGCATAGTTCCTGAAGCAACCCATGCATCTACGACTGTAGATGGAGTTACACGATAGCTAGCCAATGATGGATATGCGATTCCGAGTAGTCCCTGTGTCACATCGCCAGTAGTGTAGATTGGGTTCGTCGTTTGTCGAAACATGCCAATGACTGGAGCATTGGAAGCCGTAATATTAGTTCCAGTGACACGCGCAGTTCCTTGAAATCCGTATCCAGTCCATCCAGATTGGTCGCCATACGTACCAATCAAATCACCACTACCAGGTGGACGTGGCGTATTGATTGTTGGGCCAACATAGTTGTTCAGACCGGTAAGTGGTACAGTAAGATCAGTAGAACCCGAATCAATCATGACGCTGAACTATAACAATATATTTAAAGTCAGTATCTCGATTATAATCCAAGTCACCATCATTCATCCAATAGCCATTGGTGTAGTCATGTTTACTATATATAGTAAACACAAATAAATCAATATTGGGTAATATTGGACAGTATGTTACTTACAGTGGTGCCTTGAACGTCCATGTTTATCAAAAAGCATGTTGAATATCCGCCTGGAAGTTTGACGCTAGTGCGCTGATTTAATACGCTACTGGTAGATCCAGTATCTTGAGTGAGCAATGGGACTCGATGAGCCACGACTAAAGTACACAAGAATGCCAATATAAGCCAAGCCATTTTGTTTATCTTGTAATGCACTGTTGTTTTGACTCACATTCAAGCTCAACACCTTTGTTTTATATACACTCTGAGAGTATCCAAGGAAAATCCAAATATCAAAAACATAATTGTTTATTTTTGCCAAACACTTGTTTTACCTGAGCAAAAATTATCAGAGGATCCAAAAGCCTAAATGAATCAGTGCAACTGAGATATTTCGAGTAAGTGTTGGATTCTTCGCGTTTTTCCATGTTAGTTTTGCACATTAAAAGTCATATCTAATGCATACCTAAAAGCATTACCAAATTTGGCTTATTTAATCTTGGCCTTGCAGCATTTGGGAATGCTGAGCAACAATATATTTTCAAGGAACCGCATGATACAAGGCAAAGTATCAATATGTTAGATAAAGCAAGGTATTGGACATGGTCAAACATAATGTAAGAGCCAAGTTTAAAGTTATACTCTATGTATAGACTTACGTGAATTAGGGTCCCATGTTCGTACAATGGTTGTATTACTAAAATATACACTTGGGTAGGAGTTGGCTAAAGTGCTGCAGCCACATCCTGGAGCAAACCCAACACGCCCATTTGTTCTATCGAGTGTGATGTGCAAGTTGGAAAAAACCGGAATGCCTAATGTTGCATAGGCATCACTTCCCGTACCAACAAGATATGTACCTAGAAATATACTTTGGTTAGTATATTCTAATCAAACTACTACAAAACAACTCGATTAGAGGCTTACAATATGCATTTTGGTCACATTGAAGGTACTGCTGTCCACTCAAAGTCACAGTAAAAACTTTACTAAGTGTACCATCAGTCTGATCTGATACAATATCAAACGAAAGAGTGGGTAATGCAGTCCAGTTGATGTATGGAGTGATCGAATACGCGTATGTTCCAGACAAAAGGTTATTGACAACGGGTTGAACTTAGTACTGATTTGACCCAAGGGCTTCCGCGATAGAAATACTATCTGCATTTTTCAAAGCGGGTATTGACAACAGCTGGTACATGGATCAAAGAAGA